TTATGACCCCTGGAACTTTGGGGCTGGCAGGCTTAAGAAATATGTGCCTTTTTATTGTTTTGTTGGTTCAGTCAACAGCTTGAGGCTGGAGGAGCTGGGACTCTGTCTTGGTCAGGCTCTGCAGTGTGTATTGCGGCCGCTATGCTGCTTCGGGCATAGGGCTAGCTGTCCACCACCCTCACCCCCCTCCTGCCCACAGGACAGCGGCGGGTGGACGCCCATCATCTGGGCCGCAGAACACAAGCACATTGAAGTGATCCGCATGCTGCTGACACGGGGTGCTGACGTCACCCTCACTGACAATGTGAGTGGCAGTCATGGGGGCAGGGAAAGCTGGGGACAGCTCCAGGCCTTCTGGAGAGCTCCAGCCACCTACAACCTGCCCTCCTGCCCCCACCCCCAGGAGGAGAATATCTGCCTGCATTGGGCCTCCTTCACTGGCAGCGCCGCCATCGCCGAGGTCCTCCTGAATGCACGCTGCGACCTGCATGCCGTCAACTACCATGGGGACACGCCGCTGCACATCGCGGCCCGGGAGAGCTACCACGACTGTGTGCTGTGAGGCTCGCCCCAAGCCCTGGCCTACCCTACCTACACCCTGCCTCTTGCAGTCCCTCATGGCACAGATGGCTCCCTGTCCTCACCCCTAGGTTGTTCCTTTCACGTGGGGCCAACCCTGAGCTACGAAATAAGGAGGGGGACACAGCATGGGACCTGACCCCTGAACGCTCCGACGTGTGGTTTGCACTCCAGCTCAACCGCAAGCTCCGGCTCGGGGTGGGGAACCGCGCCATCCGCACTGAGAAGATTATCTGCCGGTGAGCCCACCCTGCCTGGATCCTGTGGATTCCTACCCATGACTCTCATTCCCCCTGGAGCAGAGCTGGCGAATCTAGTAACTCTGAGGAGGATGGCCAGTTGTGTGAGGATTTTAGAGGTACACATGTACGCTTAGCTAGTACACACCTGCAGTACTTGGGATGTACTTACACTGAAGTGTTATTCCTTGTTCACGTGAAATTCTAGTTGAATTGAACATTCTGCATTGTATCAGGCAGACTTCTTCCCCACACTCTGCTGAATCTCCCAAACCTCCTGCCTAGGGAGCCCCTCACCCCCGTGCCCCAGGTCTCAGTCCCATCTCCCCCTTGCTGCAGGGATGTGGCTCGAGGCTATGAGAACGTGCCCATTCCCTGCGTCAACGGAGTGGATGGGGAACCTTGCCCTGAGGATTACAAGTACATCTCGGAGAACTGCGAGACCTCCACCATGAACATTGACCGCAACATCACCCACTTGCAGGTGCGTGCAGCCCTGCGCGCCCCCCCCTCCACCCCTACCTTCCCCCCCCCTGCCCCCATGGTGTGAGTACCTCAGCCTGGGTAACACCAGCTGCAGGGATACCGGGAGCCCAGGCTGAGCCAGCCCTTTGCCTCTGCTTGCAGCACTGCACGTGTGTGGACGACTGCTCCAGCTCCAACTGCCTGTGCGGCCAGCTCAGCATCCGATGCTGGTATGACAAGGTGGGTGCCCCACATCTGCCCGCAGGGGCGCTGCTGCTGCTTCCCAGGGGTTGGCCTCCACAGCCTAACCCTGCAATTTTATTCCTCACCTGCTGCCCTGTGAGGGGAATGATAAAGACGGCAGGGCGGGGCCTGGGCCCGTGCCAGGTCTGAGATGAACCTGTGCCCCAAGTATGCAAATCAGGGACAATGCTTGTGTGCGTTTCTGGCTCTCTGGCTCAGAGCTTGTGTGTGTGTGGCCTCCCCGTCCTTCCCGGCTCCAGGCTGGGGTCCTCAGTGACTTTCTCCATGGAGGCCTGGGGGTCCTGGATAGCCAAATGGACCCCTACAGAAACCACTTCCTTCCCCTCCCTCTGCGTCCCAGGATGGGCGGCTGCTCCAGGAATTTAACAAGATCGAGCCCCCTCTGATTTTCGAGTGTAACCAGGCATGCTCCTGCTGGAGAAACTGCAAGAACCGGGTGGTGCAGAGCGGCATCAAGTGAGCCCCTGCCTCTCCAGCCCCCTCCCCCGCCCTACTTCCCCCTCCCCCAGGGCGCCACCGCCACCCAAGTTCCCTGCACCAACCCCATCCTGTCTCCCACCGCCAGGGTGCGCCTGCAGCTCTACCGAACAGCCAAGATGGGCTGGGGGGTCCGCGCCCTGCAGACCATCCCCCAGGGGACCTTCATCTGCGAGTGAGTCAGCAGGGGTTACCCTGGCACCTAGGGAAGACACTGCCGCCTCCCAGGCCCTCTCCCTACCCTCCTCGGCAGCAGGCCCTGGCCTCTCCTGACCCCTCTCTGCCACCAAGGACTACAGTGTCACCACTGCCTATATTGCAGCCCTCCCCCTCACGTCTCCCCTCCCCCACCTCAGTGGGTTCCTGCATCACGCACAGCCTTCCTAGCTGGCGAAAGTACCCGTGTAGAGACAACTTGGATTCTGCTGCTGGCTGGTCTTGGCCGGGTTTCTCATTCTCTCTGAGTCACATTTTTCTTGTCTGTAAATGGACAGGACAGCAGCTGCCTTTGTGTGAGCCTCCTTGGGGGTCTGGCACTCTCATAGCAGCTTTCTCTGCCAACTACTTGGGATCTAGCTAGACCATGTCTGAATCCTAGGTCTTTTGAGTCCCATTTGCCTGTTCAAGGGCCACACCAGCCTCAGTTCTCAGCTTCTGCTCGCTCCTGTTCCCAGCCAGAGTCCGCCATCACCCTCACCCTTTCCTCTCTCACTCCTGTCCTGTGCAGCTAGGTCTTGGTGCTCCATGCTTCTGTCCACCTTGTTAGAGCACCCCAATTCCCATAGCAATATCCACGTCTCTGACTGGCTCATTCATACTTCCTCTTCCTCAGCTCCTCTTCCTCTGCCATCAGATGCTTGTCTTGTCTCCAACTGGGCTGTGTGTATCACTTACCGCCTGCTGGGTGGTTTCCAGTACACAAGCCATCAAGCCCACTGACTTCCACACCTCAGCCAGCTGCCCCTGCTACTAATCCCTGTAGCCACAGAGGCTCGGCCAGCTACACAGCTTACAGCCTCTCCACGGCTTCCTGACTTCCCGCCCAGAGCTTTCACCACCCTGCCAGTCCTGTTATTCCGGTGTCTAGTGGGGACCCCAGCTGGCAGGCAGGACAATGTCCCCTGTTTATGGTGTCCACGCCCCTTCTGGGCCCTCTGTGTCCAGCCCCAGTATGTGGACCTGTGAGTCTGTGGACAGAACAAGGCAGCAGACAGTGGCAAAGAACCTGGGGCTGCCCCTCTGTGACCCCTGCTCACTTCAGAACCACCAATTCCTGCCCTGTAGGTATGTTGGGGAGCTTATCTCTGATGCTGAGGCCGACGTCCGGGAGGATGATTCTTACCTCTTCGACTTAGACAATAAGGTGCGCCGGAGATCCCTCTGGCCCTGTCCCTGGGCCACCAGAGGCTAGTTCTCTGGAGCCTCCTGAGAAGTCAGCAGGTGGAAACCCGGGAGGAAGGACTGGATAGGTAGTGGGCTAAGACTGGCCAGGCTTGCGACTCAGGTATATGTAAAGATGACACCTCCCTGCCCCCACACCAGGATGGAGAGGTCTACTGCATTGACGCCCGTTACTATGGCAACATCAGCCGCTTCATCAACCACCTGTGTGACCCCAACATCATCCCTGTCCGCGTTTTTATGCTGCACCAAGATCTGCGGTTTCCACGCATCGCCTTCTTCAGTTCGCGTGACATTCGGACCGGAGAGGAGCTAGGGTGAGGCGTCTCAGGGCTCCGTTGGAAGGGCGGGAGACGCAGCAACCCGGGATCTAGCAGCTGCAGTGCACCTGCCTTCCAGGACGGAGTGTACATGGTGCCCCTGGGGTGCACTAAGGCAGCCCTAAGCCTCATGGAATGATTCGCCGAAGTTTTGGGGGAGGAGGGCAAGATGTGCATTTCTAGCAAATTGTCACGTGGACGGCTCAAGTGCACACAGGAGGAGCCCATGTGCACCCTTGGAGTGCATCTGGGTGGGGTGGGGCAGCTGCAGCCCCTCAAGTTCCTGTGCTCCTGACAGATTTGACTACGGTGACCGCTTCTGGGACATCAAAAGCAAATATTTCACGTGCCAGTGTGGCTCTGAGAAGTGCAAGCACTCAGCTGAAGCCATCGCCCTGGAGCAGAGCCGCCTGGCCCGAATGGATCCTCACCCTGAGCTGCTGCCTGAGCTCGGCTCCCTGCCCCCCGTCAGCACCTGAGCCTGGACCAAACCCGCTGACCCTGTGCCCCAATGCCACCCCGGAAGGCCAGCAGCCCAGCCACCTCTGCCACCTGCTGCTCACAGCCCTCCTCTCTTCTACTGCCCCTCCACACATTCCTCCAGCAGACACCCCAGCCAGGCCCTGGAGGTCTGACAGCCCCCCGACTCCCAGAGCTGGTTCCTTCCTGGGAAGGTGATGTCAGGGCTGGCCAACCCCTGCTCCCCACCTCCACTGAAATTTGATGAATTGAAATTGGGCCTCAATGCCAACTGGTTCCCCTTGATGTCAGTAAACGCTGGGTTTGGTAATAAACTGTCTAGGTAATTGCTTCCAGAAAGCAAGGAGGAAGGACACACACGGGGAAATGTGGGTCCAAGGGGCAGCACACTGTGGGAAGTGGGTGGACAGGGGCCCAGTGGGGCAGTGGGGAGAGGCAAGCCCTGGCAGCAGGGTCTGGCTGGTTATCCAAAAGGCAAATCTGGACACTTAATCTTTGGTGGGGAGAGTGTGGGCCAGAGTGCCAGACTGAAGGAAGTTTACAGGATAATGGCTTGTTTTCTTACTGGAGCGTGCCAAGCCCTTCACACTGGGCACTGGCAGCCCCGGAGCCCCAGTCCAGTCTCAGCCCACTGGGCAGAGTTGTGAAGCAGGAACTAGAATATATTCTGTGTCGGGGACCACACAGGGGGTGGGGCTCTGACGTGGGGGAGGGCGGGGCAGGCGCAGGTGAACCGCCAGGTCTCCCTGGCTGCAATCACTCCGGAGACTGAGCCATGGGGCGAAAGCAGGACAAGGAGGAAACCTACGGTGAGCGTGAGCGGGTGCTGCTGGCCACTCGGAGCCTGCAGAAGCAGGGAAGGAGAAAGCCTGCAGAAGGAGGGAACGAGAACCATGACGCTGTGAGCAGGGTGCCTGGCCCCAGCTCCAGGGAGAGGAACCAAGGAGAGTTTTGGGTCCCTGAGGGGAGGGGCCAGGGAAACGGGAGCCATGGAAGGAGGCAGGCAGAATTCTGGGAGAAGGATGGGGTTGAGGCCCTGAGACCACTGCTGGGGGAGCCTGTGGGAGGGGGTGACGATGAGACCCTTGTTGGGGGATGGAGCTTGGTGTTTCAGGCCATGACTGAAGGAAGGGCCCCTAAAGGCAAGGTCTTGACAAATCCTGCGGGAGGAGGTGGCAGGTTGGGGGAGTGAGCAGTAGAGGAGCTTAGGGAGTGCTGGGACCAGGGGCATTTGCAGAGCCTGTGAGGGTGGGGACGTTCCCAGGGACCTATGGGCTGGGGTAGTGTGGGCTTGGGCCCTACAATTCCGGGAGAAGGAGCTGGGCCAGCCAGGCAGGATCTTAAAGAGAACCTACCCAGATTGGGCTTTGCCTACTGGGGTCCTTGGGGGAAGATGCTGGTGGCCAACCACCCAAGAGTGCAAACCTGTCCAGTATATTTTGAAGAACAAGGGCTGGACCTTTTGTGGTGCAGGGCTGGGGTGGGGGCTAGGGAGCCGGACCTTTGGTGAAGGGTGAGGGCTTAGAGATTCCCAGGATCGGTAAGGATTAGAAGCTGGGGCCCCAGGAGAGGGACCCCAGGCAGCCAGCCTCCGGGGTTTGAGTGGCTGGAGGGGAGGGGAGCTGGGGGCTAGGGCCTGTGTCCCCTGGAGGGATAGGGTAAGGGGCAGGTGGAAGTCCCCAGTAGATTTCCTGGAGCAGCTTTGGGTCAATCATTGACCTCCTGTCCAAGAGCCAGGAGAGGAACAGAGTCCAGAGCCCCTGGGAGGACTCATCCCACGCTGCCCAGCCTCTGTCTGTCCTCCTGGGTGCCCACAAGGGACCCTGGCTGCCAGGCCCCACCTCCTCCCCATGTGTACTCAGGGAGGACCAGGAACAGTTCCGGGCTGGGCTCAGGTGTCGCCCAACTGCCTGTCTGGAGCACAGTAGGAGCCTGGGGACGGAGGTCCTGTCAGAGTGGAGGTCCATAGGACCCCCACCCTACCTCTTCCCCATGCCCTGCAGCGGTTGACAGCTCTGGCTTTCCCTGTGGACTTGGACCATGGGTGGAGGTAGTATCTGGGTTGTGGGAGGGGCTGTGACCTGCTTGAGGGGCTCTGAGGCTGTACAGCCAGAAAGGAGTTGAAGGGAAGGAAAAGAGATCAGAAGGGAGGGAGGGAAAAGGGATGAGGAGGGGGCGTGAATGCCATGAAGGCTGGAGCCTGAGCAGGGAAGCAAGGTTATTTAGCTGATGGGCTTTGGGTGGGAGCCACAGCCAGAGTGAAATTCCTGGAGATTGGTTGAGACACTGAGCAGGCAGGGTCCTAGGCCTTGCTGTACTCTCCCCTGTCCTGCCAGTACTGCTCTGCTGTTACCGCCGCCCCCAACACACACACACACCCCAGACACCTGGGAGGCTGGCAGGAAGGACCAGCTATGGGGCCTCCTTGTCCATGCTCTTCTGCTTGCCCCTCAGGGAACCCAGCCAAATATGATCCCTCCTTCCGAGGTCCCATCAAAAACAGGTGAGTTCTGGGTTCTGCCTGGGGGGGCGGCAGGCTGGAGGAAGTAGGTGGAGGGGTAGGTGGCATTTTGTTTGCTTTTGCTTTATCTCTGCTGAAATATTAGTAAGAAACTTAAAAAAAAAATCTCTCCCTGACTCAGACACATGGTGCCCTTGGGCGCTAGTTGTGTTCCTGGGGCTCCAGGGTCTTCCGGGTGTCAGGGCTGTTCTGTTTCCTGGCTTGGGTGTGGGTGATACCGGCTACATCTGCCTTTTGGGAAAACAGCCAGCTGAACACTGCCTCTGGGACACACGACGCCCATTTCTGCGTTCCACTTCCGGAGAAAGCATGCCCCCCACAGACACAGATTTTCTTTAATAAAACCTGCCACTGCCCTCTAGCCTCCAACATCCCATCCTGGAAGGCTCCCCAAACTCCCACCGCCCCTCATCTCTTTCCCAGGAGCTGCACAGATGTCATTTGCTGTGTCCTCTTCCTGGTCTTCATTTTGGGTTACATCGTGGTGGGGATCGTGGGTGAGTTAACAGCTGCCCAGGGCTGGAGCCATGGGGGAGGGAGGGAAGGAGGGTCACACCCGCAGCACGTACTTCCCCAATCCCCAAGCCCCTGCCCTGCCCTACAGTGAGTGAGTCATCTGTATCTGTCTCCAGCCTGGGTGTATGGAGACCCCCGGCAAGTCCTCTACCCCAGGAACTCCACTGGAGCCTACTGTGGCATAGGGGCAAACAAGTGAGTATGAAAGTTGGGGTGCATCTCGGGAAATCTCCCCAATTCAGACTCCAAACTAGTCTGTATTCTTCACACCCTGAACCCTCCAGAGGCTGACCTCTCCAGACTGCGTTTAGAACCTTCCAGGGCTGGAGGAGCTTCTCAGCTCCTTTCTCCCCTTTCCCCCTCTTCCCCCCAGACCTGGGAGACAGTGCAGAATCCTGATGACATGCATGGCTTTAGAGACTGGTGTTTGTCCCCCAGCTGGGCTCTGTTTGGACTGTGTGGCCTCGGGCAAGTCACTCCATCTCTCTGGGCTCTGATTTCCTCCTCCGAAACAGAAGGATGGCTTGAGAAGCAATAGCACCCTGGGTTCCCACAAGCAGGAAATGCTGGCTAGACAACAGGGTGCTGCTCTTTCTTTGGCCCTCACGGTGTCCCCAACAGGCAGTGCAGGAGTGCTTCCTGCTCCTGGGGTGACTCGCTCCAAGACCCCCAGCAGATGCCGACACCTCGGGCAGTACTGAACCATGTGTGGGCTATCTGCCTAGACATACCTATCTGTGATAATGTCTCAGAAATGAGGCACAGTAAGAGATTAACAGTAATTAATGATAAAACAGATCAGTTATAACAACTGACTGTAATAAACGTTATGTGAATGTGCTTTTTCTCCCTCTTGAAATAGCTTGTACTCTGACCTTTCCATAGAAAGGAAGCCGTTTATGGCTTCCTTCTGCAAAGCTGAGTTGCCAGTGTGCTTTGGGGTTGTCAGTAAGTCCAGTGAAGGTTACCTGAGCACGAGCACCATGGGCCACGATAGGCAGCCTGCCACAAGGACAGCATCCTGTGTAGACATGCTGGATGCAGACTACATGAATGGTCTTCTTCACCCTGCTCAAAGTGAGTGGTGATCAAAAAGTTACAGGTTACTTCTTTCTAGAACTCCCCATGTAATTTTTTTTTAAGATTTATTTTTGGGGACGTGGTGCAGTAGCCTAGTGGCTAAAGTCCTCAGCCAGAATGTGCTGGGATTTCATATGGGCACTGGTTTCTATCCCAGCTGCCCCACTTCCCATCTAGCTCTCTGCTTGTGGCCTGCAAAAGCAGTTGAGGACGGCCCAAAGCCTTGGGACCCTGCACTAGTGAGGGAGACCTAAAGAAGCTCCTAGCTCCTGGCTTCAGATCAGCTCTGACCAGTATGGCTACTTGGGGAGTGAACCAGCCAGGGGATGGAAGATCTTCCTCTCTTTCTCTCCTCTCTGTAAAATCTGACTTCCCAATAAAAATAGATAAAATTTTTAAAAGATCTATTTGTTTTTATTACAAAGTCAGATATACAGAGAAGAGGAGAGATGGAGAGGAAGATCTTCTGTCCAATGATTCACTCCCCAAATAGGTGCAGTGGCCATTACTGCGCTGATCCGAAGCCAGGAGCCAGAAACTTCTTCCCGGTATCCCAGGCGAGTGCAGAGTCCCAAGGCTTTGGGCCATCCTCGACTGCTTTCCCAGGCCACAAGCAGGGAGCTGGATGGGAAGTGGATCTGACAGGATTAGAACCGGCGTCCATATGGGATCCCAGTGCGTTCAAGGTGAGGACTTTAGTCGCTAGGCCACCACACTGGGCCCAAAAATAAATAAATCTTTAAAAAATGTTTTTAAAAAGTTTTTTATTTAAAAGGCAGATTTTACAGAGACAGAGAAATCTTCCATTTGTTGGTTCATTGTCCATATGGATACAACAGCCAGAGCTGTGCTGATCCGAACCTGGGAGCCAGGACTCGAACCAGTGTCCGTATGAGAGGCCAGTGCTAACAGGTGGAGGATTAGCATGATACCCCACTATGCTGGAAACTTCTTCTTTTAAAGATTTATTTCTTTTTATTGGAAAGGCAAATATGCAGAAAGGAGGAGAGACAGAGAGGAAGATCTTCTGTCCCCCGCCTGGTTCACTCCCCAAGTGGCCGCGATGGCTGGAGCTCAGTCTGAAGCCGGAAGCCTAGAGCTTCTTTCAAGTGTCCCACACAGGTGCAGGGTTTCAAGGCTTTGGGCCATACTCAACTGCTTTCATAGGCCACAAGCAGGGAGCTGGATGGGAAGTGGAGCTGCCGGGATTAGAACCGGCGCCCATATCAGATCCCAGCACATGCAAAGCAAGGACTTTAACAGCTAGGCTACCACACAGGACCCTGGACCCTTCTTTATTAAACTATGTATTGGGGTTGGCATTGTGTTGCAGTCAATAAAGCCTCAGCTTGGGACGGCATCCTTCATCAAAGCACTACTTCAAGTCTTGGCTACTGCACTTCTTTATTTTTATAAGATTTGTTTTTACTATTTTTTTATTGGAAAGGTAGATATACAGAGAGGAGAGACAGAGAGGAAGATCTTCCATCCAATGATTCACTCCCCAAGTGAGCACAACGGCCGATACTATGCCAATCCGAAGCCAGGAGCCTCTTCTGGGTCTCCCACGTGGGTGCAGGGTCCCAAAGCTTTAGGCCATCCTCGACTGCTTTCCCGTGCCACAGGCAGGGAGCTGGAAGGGAAGTGGGGCTGCTGGGATAGAACCAGTGCCCATATGGGATCCTGGGCGTGCAAGGCGAGGACTTTAGCCACTGCGCCACCGCACCAGGCCCGGCTACTGCACTTCTAATCCAGCTCCCTGCTATTGCACCTGGGAAAATAGTGAATGATGACCCAAGTGCCTGGACCCTGCCATCCACATGGGAGACCTCAACGGAGCTCCTGGCTCTTGGCTTCAGCCTGACCCAGCTCTGCTTATTGCACCCATTGGGGGAATAAACAAGCCCTCTCTGTCACTCTGCCTTTCAATGAAATCAACCAAATAAGTATTTATTTTAAAACACGCTTGTATGTCTGTAGTTGAGAGGCAGAGAGGCAGATTGGAGCTTCCATCTACTGGTTCACTCTCCAAATGGTCCCAATCGCCAGAGCTAGGCTGGACCAAAGCTGGGTGCCAGGAGCTCAATCCTGGCCTCCCACAAACATGGCAGGGACCCAGCTCCTTGAGCTACCACACTGCTTCCCATGAGCCGCATTAGCGGGAACTTGGAACTAGGAGTGGAGCCTGAACTCAAGCCTCGGCATTCTTATCCGAGTACAGGCATCTCAAACGGTGTCCTAACCATTAGGCCTGCCTCTCCTTATTTTCTGGTTATAATTGAGAAATAGTAATTGAAGCTGTAGAAAATGAGACTGCATAATAGAGGTGCACTGCACAAGTACCCTAAACACCCACAATCGCATTCACGCCTGAGAAGGTAGGTGCCATTCACAGCTGAGTGGCTGCTCCACCCAAGGGCATATCTGTAGCCCGCTGCTGGCTGCCACAATGCTCAAGGACTCTGAGAAGTTGTGCTGGTGTATCACCTGTTGGCCTGGCTTGACCCAAGGCCAGGGGTTGGGCTGTGAAGTACAGAGGCCAGGGCCAGTGCGATGATTCAATTGGCAAATCCAGCATCTGCAAGTGTTGGCATCCTCGTGGGAACCAGTTCGTGCCCGGACTGCTCCACTTCCTATCCAGCTCCCTGCTTATAGCCTGGGAAAGTAGGGGAGGATGGCCCACACCCTTAGGACCCTGCACCCACATGGGAGAACTGGAGGAAATGCAGAGGCCACCCTGGCTGCGTGTGCCTTGGGGAGGACCTCAGCAGTCTCTCACCGACCCCAGCACCTGGCCAGGTACTCACACACACGCCTCCTCCCTCCCTACAGAGAGAAACCCTACCTCCTATACTTCAACATCTTCAACTGTATCCTGGATGCCAACATCATCACGGCTGCCACCCAGGGTCTCCATTGCTCCACGCCCCAGGTCAGAGGTTGGGGCCTGCCTCTGCCACAGAGCTGTCCCCCTCACTGGGGCTGGGGAATAGGAGGGACAGGAGGGGTTGGGGAGCAGCCCCTCAGTTCCTCTGGCTTTCCTCAGGTGTGTGTGTCATCCTGCCCGGAGCGCCTGTGGGTCGCACAAGAGAACCAAGACTCGCAGACGGTGGGGGATGCCTTCTATGCCAAAAACTGGAGCTTCTGCCTCCCGGGGGTCCCCGCGGATATGGTGAGTGTTGCTCCCAAAGGGCCCTCAGCAGCCAAGGCTTGGACAGGAGCTGGCTGTCACCTGGGGAGGAGGGGCAGTTGAACCCCAAGGTGGCGGTGGCGGTGGTGGTTTGAGGGAACCCACTTCTGTATTCTGAATCGGCTTATCTCTGTCTTCCCACCACCACCGCAGCTTCTGCAAGACAGCCTGCAACAGGAACTATGTCCACGCTTCCTCTTACCCTCCTCTGCAGGTGAGAAGATGCAATCCCTCTCAGGCATCGTGTAGCCTGGGGTTGGTGCCACCCACGAGGGGAAGCCAGGCCCAGAAACATAGAGCCTTGGAACCCCTTGAGTGGCAAAAACTAAGACTGGCAGCAAGCCCTCACCTCCTTCTTCCCCCTTGGGGAGGGGGCTGAACTCGCTGGCACTTGCCTCATTCCCACTGCATGTCAGGCGTTCAGCATGGGCACAAGGGAGATGAGAATTCTCCCTGTGTGAGCTGCATGTGCCCATCAGAGATGCCCGCAGAGACAGCATCCCACTAGACAGCTGTGGGCAACACCACACACACAATTGCAGCCTGGGGATACACAACCAAATGTTGAGAATGAGCATGGCTGGGCAGTAGCGTGCCAACCCACCTTTTTCTTTTTTTTCTGTCTTTGGCAATATCAAGTGTTATTTTTTTAAATAGAAAAATGTCCTCTTGCAAATTATGGCGGGATAAAAGTTTTCCATGAAGGACACTAGATAACATCTGAAATGAAGGCTGAAAAGTCAGCTCCACCCAGGCATTTCTCAGCTGTGTGGTTTGGGGCTAGTTCCTCAACTTCTCTGATTCTTGTTTCTTCATCTTTATTTATTTTTCTTCTTCTTCTGCTTCTTCTTGGGAGGCTGGGGCCAAAGGATCACTCAAGTACAGGAATTCTGGGCTGTAGTGTACCATGCTGCTTGGGTGTTTGCACCAAGCTCAGCATCAATATGCTGACACCACCACACCGGGAGCAGGGGACCACCAGGTTGCCTAAGGAAGGATGAACTGGCCTTGGTTGGAAACAGAGCAGGTCAAAACTCCCATGCTGATCAATAGAATGGTAATGGCAAAGCAGGCCTGCCTGGCAAATAGCACCCAGGAGGTGCCAACAGGACCTAGAGCTGGGGTAGGGAGGCTTCCTGGAGGAGGTGAGCTGCAGAGAATAATGGATGGAATTTCTAAGGGGAGGGAGAGCATACTGAGGGAGACTGTGCAAGAGCAAACACAGAGCTGAGGTCAGAGTGAGTGGAGCTCAGGCAGCAGATCTAGGGGGCCTGGCCAGCCACTACAGGCAGGGTGATGCAGCCCTCTGGGCTTCCTGGAGGATTGCCTGAAGAAGTATGGCTGGGTCAGGGGAAGGAGGGTCTGAAACAGGCCATGAAGGGGAGCGGAGCCTACTGAGGGCTCTGTGACTTCCCAAAGTCCTCACCCAGCAACCCTGCCTCTCCCCTGCAGCCCTGGGCCGTTGCTTTCCATGGTCTAACAGTAGCACCGCAGAAATACCAGGCATCAGCAACAACAACATCTCTCAGGGCATCAGGTGGGCATCCCTCTCCGCAGCCCTGCACCTCTCCACCCCACATCCTTCCTACCCCTGGTCCCAGCTGACTGACTCTCCCCCTGGCAGTGGGCTCCTAAACGGCCTCAATGCCCGAGACATCAGCGTGAAGATCTTTGAAGACTTCGCCCACTCCTGGCATTGGATTCTCGTGTGAGTCACCTAAGGCCCTGGTCCTTCTCCATGGCCTGATAGTGAAAGCCATGATTTGGACAGAGCAGAAGGGGAGGAGCTCAGGGCAGATGGAGAAGGAGTAGGGGTGCTACCTAGTCTGAGGGGACTGAGGAGGGACATGGGGTGGGAGATCCTCCAGCTACCTTGTCCCACTTGCAGTGCCCTGGCAGTGGCCCTGGTCCTGAGCCTGTTGTTTATCCTGCTTCTGCGCCTGGTGGCCGGGCCGCTGGTGCTGCTGCTGATCCTCGGGGTGCTAGGTGTGCTGGCATATGGCATCTACCACTGCTGGCAGGAGTACCGGGTGCTGCGGGACAAGGGTGCCTCCATCTCCCAGCTGGGCTTCACCACCAACCTCAGTGCCTACAAGAGTGTGCAGGAGACGTGGCTGGCTGCCTGTGAGTGCCCTGCACACCCCACTCCACCACCACCCCTTCCCTGGAGGTCTGCCCTGGGCCGTGAGCTGGCCTGGCCCTGATGCCAGTACCCCCTGCCCCTGTGCCCCGCAGTGATAGTGCTGGCCGTGCTGGAAGGCATCCTGCTGCTGATGCTCATCTTCCTACGACAGCGGATTCGCATCGCCATCGCCCTCCTGAACGAGGCCAGCAAGTCAGAGCCTGATTAGGATGGAGATGGGGGATGAGGGCAAGGGTGGGGGCCCGACTTGGGGGGTGACTGGCAGGAAGTCCCAGAGGAGAAGGGCGGGGTAAAGCACAGCTCTTTGACTGTCCCTGTCTGTAAAATGGGAGCAGTACAGTCCCTATGGCCTGAGGCTGTTAGGAGGATTGAATGAGTCCACTCCACCCACTTCCTGGAACATGGTGCCACCTGTCTGGAAGCGGTTGAGAGGAGCATGCTGGTTGCAGGGTGGGAGGTGGCCGGGATCCTGGCAGGGAGCAGCAGCAGCTTGCCCCCCGGCTGGGAGCTACCAGATCTATCAAGAGCATACTGGAAGCTGCCACAGGTGGCTTCTTTGCCATGCTAGTTTTATTTTTTTTAATTTTTATATCATTTTATGACAGTTTCATAGGCTCTGGGAACCATGCTAGTTTCATCGGGGGATCCTGAACCTGGCTTGTTCATGTCAGGTCCTTCAATAAGCACCTACTGTGTGCTTGGCAATGCCCCCAGGGGCCGCCTGGTCATTTCCAGCCTGGAGGGGGGTGGGGCATGCCTGTGCCAGGGTCAGCCCTGGGAGGAGCTGGGTGGACCATTTGCTAGCAGCTTGTGTCTTCCTGCAGGGCTGTGGCACAGATGCTGTTGACCATGTTCTACCCATTGGTCACCTTTGTCCTCCTGCTCATCTGCATTGCCTACTGGGCTATGACAGCTCTGTATCCTTTGCCCTCCTGGGGCAGGGTGTGTGTGTCTGCAGGGGTGGGGCAGACGAGCAGCACTTTCCAGCAGTGTTGCTTGGAGGACAGGGCCCCTTGCTCTGGGCAGGCACAGCCCTGCACCTGCGTGAGGTTGAAAGCCTGGGTGCAGTCTGCATTCCAGCTCCCATCTGTGCAGGGGGGAGCACCCTGTGTCAGCACCTGGGCTGGGGCTCCAAGGCATGGTCTGTGCATGTCCCATGCTTTCCTTGACTCCCCTCCAGATACCTGGCCACATCAGGGCAACCCCAGTACATCTACTGGGCTCCCAATGCCAGCGCACCCGGCTGTGAGGAAGTGCCAATTAACAAAACGTGTGACCCCATGGTGAGAGGATGTGGGGAAGGCATGGCGGGGGCACTCATGGGCTCGAGGGTATCTAAGGAGCCACTGGTCCAAATCCTTCAATGTACAAAGGAGCCTGAAGCTGAGATCAGTCCAGGGGCTCATTCCAAGTCACACAACGGGCCCCAAGTGGAGAGGAAGCAGCCTGGCCACTGGCCCCAACCTCCACTTCTTCCTTCTGAACCGGTCTGCAGGGAAGGACACAGAGGCTCAGATAAGAGCAATGGCCTAATAGCAAGGCAGGACCTGGGTCCCACATTGTATCTGCTGAGTGCTGGGCAACCCTCTGTGAAATGAAGGTGACCACAAGTCCTGCCCCTTGGGGTGGTGAGAGGATTAAGTGATGACACTGAACATACACAGGGCTTAATGCAAGGCCTGGCTCCTGAGAAGGACTCGGGACTCGTTGGGTCATTTTGATTTGCCCTGCTCCCTTAGCACACTGCCCTACATGCAGACAGAGTGCCTGGGAGGAAAGCTGCTCCCAAAATCCCCTGTAAAGTTTTTTGGGGGTGGCATTAGACTGCTGGGAAGGGGCTACTCATCATGCTTTTGGTTCCTAACATCACCTCAGCTGAGCTTGTATAACAGAAGGGAGGCTCAGCCATGCTGATAGAGGGCCCACAGGACATAGCAGCTGCTCACGATCCAGCAGTGGACAGGATAGGACATAGCAGCTGCCCACGATCCAGCAGTGGACAGGATAGGACATAGCAGCTGCCCACGATCCAGCAGTGGACAGGATAGGACATAGCAGCTGCCCACGATCCAGCAGTGGACAGGAGTACAAAGTGAAAGTTGTTCATTCCTCTTTAGATTTGTTTACTTGGATTTGCTTAATTGATTCATTTCTCTTTTATTTAATTACTTTCATCTCTTGAAAAGCAGACAGAAAATCTTCATCGTCTGGTTCACTTCCCAAATGTCCACCTCCTCTGGGACTGGGCCAGGCTGAAGCCAGGAGCCCTGGAACTTCATCAGGGCCTCTCACAATGTGTGGCAGGAATTCCAGCTCTTGAGCCTCCATCTGCTGCATCCTGGGATGTGCATTAGCAGGAAGCTGGCTTGGAAGTGGAGGTGCTGCTGAGACTGGAACCAGTACTCAGATCTGCACTGACATGAGACGCAGCTGCCCCACTCGGCAGTGCTGACTGCTGTGCTACAGTGCATGCCCTTGTTTTCCTTTTTTATTTTAAAGATTTATTTATTTTTATTGCAAAGTCAGATATACAGAGAGGAGGAGAGACAGAGAGGAAGATCTTCTGTCCGATGATTCACTCCCCAAGTGAGCGCAACAGCCGGTGCTGTGCCGATCCGAAGCCAGGAACCTGGAACTTCCTCTAGGTCTCCCACATGGGTGCAGGGTCCCAAGGCTTTGGGCCGTCCTAGACTGCTCTCCCAGGCCATAAGCAGGGAGCTGGATGGGAAGTGGAGCTGCCGGGAATAGAACCGGCGTCCATATGGGATCCTGGTGCATTCAAGGCGAGGATTTTAGCCACTAGGCCACTGTGCCAGGCCCGCCCCTTTTTTCTTATTAGATAATTTCAAAGAGACATTCAGCTTCAGAAATTATCTAGACTTTTGTGGGTCAATCTGCTGGACAGGGTTTGCTTTCTGTGCATTTTTACTCTTGACTATGGCAAATTTCAATCACATACAAAGAGATAATACAGTGAGGGCCAGGTGTGGTGCAGTGAATGGGTCAGGCCACCGTCTGGAACGCACATGCCCCACGCCAGAGTCCTAGTTAGAGTCCCAGCTGCTTCCTAACTCGCTCCCTGCTGATGTGCCTGGGAGGCGGTGGATGACAGCTCAGGTACCGGAGTTGTTACTGCCTACATGGCAACACCTGATAGGGTTCTCGGTTCCTGGCTTCTGGCTTCTTCCTGATTCAGCCTTCAGGAGCTACAGCCAGGGGGGTGACAAGCCAGCAGATGGAAGATTCTCTCTCTCACATACACATAGAGAAAGAAAGAGAGCACCTTTCACATAAATTAAAAAAAAAAAAAAAACACAGTGAATCCCGGTACCCAGACTCTTCAACTCTCAATTTGCTATCCTTATTTCATCTGTCTTCCTCATCTGAATTTTTTTTTTCTGGAGTTTTTCTTTTAAGGTAAATTCTAGACATCATATATTCACTTGTAAATGTGCCAGGATGGATCTCAACAGACAAGGACTTTTAACAGGCGTAACCATTGTCCCACCATAATACATGACAAAGCTAACAATAACCCTTTACCATCACCATTCATCCATCCATTCAGTTTTCTGGGAAATGCTTTGAGTATTGCTACAGAGGCACCCCGGAGGGGCTGCTGAATGAGTATGGCAGGGCGTGGTTCAGACTGCCTTCATGTATGCCATAATGGCTTAGCTGACAGCCTCAGAGTCCCTGGGCCAGTCTGCAAGCAGGAAGCTAAGGGCTCACACATTTGGCAGTCTGAAGCCAGCTTGAGCATGGAGATGAGCTCCTAGCTGCTACTTCCCTCTGCTCTGGGTGGCACAGGAGCCAGCTGGCCGTGGCAGAGGCTGGAGCTCTGCACCCAGGCATCTCAAGCCTGGCCCTGAACCTGCTGTCTTCCCCCTGCCCACTTCCAGGCCCAGACCAACTACTCGTGCCTGGGTCTCAAGTGCGTCTTCCAGAGCTACTCCACCACAGGCCTCGTGCAACGTTCAATATTCAACCTGCAAATCTACGGGGTCCTGGGGCTCTTCTGGACCATTAACTGGGTGCTGGCCCTGGGCCAGTGTGTGCTGGCCGGGGCCTTCGCCTCCTTCTACTGGGCCTTCCACAAGCCCCGAGACATCCCCACCTTCCCCCTGGCCTCTTCCTTCATCCGCACCCTTCGGTGAGCCGGGGGCCGGGGAATTGTGAACATGGTGAAGAACAGCTCGGGCTCCTAGGGCTGCCTGACCTCGTCCTTTTCTCCGCAGTTACCACACCGGGTCTCTGGCATTTGGATCTCTCATCCTGACCCTCGTGCAGATAGCCCGGATCATCCTGGAGTACATTGACCACAAGCTGAGAGGTGAACAGGACGTCAGGGGTGGGGGGACAGGCCCTCCTGGGGCAGCCCGGGAGCCTTGGGGAGGGCACTGGCAGAGTCTGGCAAGTGAGCGCGAGCTTTCCTTGATCCCAGGAGCTCAGAACCCTGTAGCCCGCTGCATCATGTGCTGCTTCAAGTGCTGCCTGTGGTGTCTGGAAAAGTTCATCAAGTTCCTAAACCGCAATGCGTACATCATGGTGAGCACAGGGTGTGCAGGGCCAGTGCCCCCCTGGCCCAGGCCTGCCTGAGCAGGGAGAGCTGGCTCCTCCCCACAGGTGACACTGACCCTCTGGTCCCCCTCAGATCGCCATCTATGGAAAGAATTTCTGTGTCTCAGCCAAGAACGCCTTCCTGCTGCTCATGCGGAATGTACTCAGGTCAGGCCGACCCCAGCCTCCTCCTCAGATCTCCCTCCCATGGCTGTGCATGCTGGGCGGAGCAGAGCCCTGTCGCTGGGGACCTGAAGTTCTCATCCTGCACCTGTCCCACGCATGACACAGTCAGCTCTGCTCTCCCACCCCTCACCAGCCCCCTGCTCTGACTCCTGGTACAGGGTGGTGGTCCTGGATAAAGTCACCGACCTGCTGCTCTTCTTTGGGAAGCTGCTGGTGGTCGGAGGTGTTGGTAAGTGCCAGGGCAGAGCAGTGTGGGGGCAGAATGCAGCTGGAGAGGTGGCCTCAGAGGAGCCCACTGACCTCTGGAACTCGCCCACAGGTGTCCTGTCCTTCTTTTTCTTCTCCGGACGAATCCACGGACTGGGTAGCAACTTTGAGAACCCCAAACTCAACTATTACTGGCTGCCCATCATGGTGAGTGACTCCTCATTCTGCCTGACACCCCCAACTTCCCCAGGGGAGTCCAGCGACCCCAACAGGCCTTGTCTCGCAGACCTCCATCGTAGGGGCTTACGTCATCGCCAGCGGCTTCTTCGGTGTCTTCGGCATGTGTGTGGACACTCTCTTCCTCTGTTTTTGTGAGTGGCAGCCCCCGCCACCTGCCCCTCGTCCAGCTTTCAAGGTGCCAGGCATTTCAGGTGGTTTCTGGAGATCTGGTGCTTCTGGAAACAGTAGTACTGTGAGCTAAAGGAGGCAGACGGTGCCCCTGCTGAGGGCCGAGGTCCAGGGGATCGGGGAAGAAAGGCAAGCCTGAGGCCCGGGCGGTTGGGATCTTGCAAATAGCCACAAGGGAGACTTTCCAGCAGGGGGCTGCAAGGAGAGGGGCTTTCTTAACCAGATGGGTGCGTACTAGTACCGTGTGTTAGCAGTTTATCCTAAACATCCCTCTACAAAGTGTAGTGTTATAGATCCTACTTTACATGACGGGTCTGGGTCTAAAAAACCTGCCTGGGAGTGGGTGGGGGGCACCAAAAAGCACAAGTAGCAGGCGGGGTTGCAGCCCGGATAGGAAACCGGGGAATCTCCAGGTCCCTGGTTTCCCGGGAGGGACCCCCCACCCATCCCTTCTAACCTGTCTATGTCGCGGCCCAGTGGAGGACCTGGAGCGGAACGACGGCTCCCAAGACCGGCCCTATTACATGTCCAAATCCCTCATGAAGATTCTGGGCAAGAAAAACAAGGCGTCTCCGGAGGCCAAGAAGAGGAAGAAGTGAGAGCCGGCCCTGACGCACGACTGCACCCCACCTGTGCCCACGCTCAGCCGCACTTCGCGTTGCAGCCCTCGGTTTTGTAGTACCAAGATTTTATTAAAGATGCATATTTTGTTTTCTCAGTCTGTGACTTCTATTCGCTCCAACCTGATACCTTTCTTGCGCCTCGCGCCGGCGCTTTAAAACAGGTCCCGCCCCCGTGACGCGACCAGGTGCCACAGCCAATGACAGCACTCGCACTAGGGAGCACCGCCCCGCTCCGCGGGGCTTACTTACTCTCGGGCGAGTCACGCGCTCCGGCGCCTTCCGGAGGGCCAATCGGAAGGCCAGGCTCTCGGGCACGGCTTCACCTCGGGGGCGGGCCAGGATGCCTGCGGACCAATGGGAGTGGCGGCAGTGCAGTGCGCGCCCCGAGGCCTGCCGCCCGGCGCGGAGCTGCTTGGAGGGTGACAGCTGAGTGATTAAAGGGCCCGGGTCAGCTGACTGGCTCCAGCCCATGCCTAGTTTGGCGGCCAGGGTCGCGGCCGCCCCGGGAAGAGATGACCGGCGAGCGCCTGGGCTCGGCGCTCCTGGCCAGAGCCTGGGCCCGGCGGACGCCCAGTTTGCGTAGAGGCCGTGGGAGAGTTCAGGCGTGGGCCGCGCTCGTCCAGCTGCTGTTGACCCTGACCGGCCTCGAAGCTGGCGCTAATGACTTCAGTCTGGTGAGTCACCCCTCGCCGGTCTGCATTCCCGATCCGGGCGGGTGGCCGCTGCCCAACGTGCTTGGGACACTCCTCGCCCCTCCATCGCCCTCAGCGTCCCTTCCTCCTCCTCCCAGCTCTGACCTACCTGCGCATGCTTCCCTCTCTGTAGCGCCCCTTCCGCTCCACGCTACCAGTTTCGCTGCAAACTCTCAGCTTCCCAGTTCTTGTTCTGGGGTCCCTACTCTTTCTGGGGACCGCCATTCCCCTTACTTTCCCATGAGAACCGAGTTCACGTCGTTACCCATCTCTCTGTACCCTAAAATCCCGGATCGAGCTGGTCAGTTCTGACCCCTCCTCCTCCCGCGGCAGGTGCAACCACTGGTGACCATGGAGCAGCTGCTGTGGGTCAGCGGGAGGCAGATCGGCCAGGTGGACACCTTCCGCATCCCACTCATCACAGTCACCCCTCGGGGCACTCTCCTCGCCTTCGCAGAGGCCAGGAAAATGTCTGCCTCTGATGAAGGGGCCAAGTTCATCGCACTGCGAAGGTCCACCAACCAGGGTATGAAGATGCCTGGGTCCAAAGGGCAAGTGCTGAGTGGCTGGATGGGGAGCAGCCGCTTCTCAGGAAATCTGAGGTGTAGGAAGAGCCCAGGGATGGGGAGGCTTCCAGGGCAGAGAGCCAGACGTTGGAGCTACCAAGAAGTAACCTTTATTCACGATCTATTGGTTTCGCATCTACTACATCCCAAGCTCTGTTTTGTTTGTTTATTTGTTTGGGGGCAGGTGAGTTTTAAAATTTTAAAGTTTTTTGTGAAAGGCAGAGTAACAGAATTGGAGGCAGGGGAGAGAGCTTCCATGTACTGCTTCACTTTGCAAAAGGCCACCAGAGTTTGGGCTGGGCCACACTAAAAGCAGGAACCAGGAACTCCGTCAGTGTCTCCCACAGGAAGAACAGTGGCCCGAGGAGGAGCATGTGGGCCATCTTCTGCTTTCTCAGGCACATTAGCAGGGAAGGAGCTGGATCAGAAGCAGAACAGGTGGGATTTGAACCGGTGCAGCAGTGTGGGATGTCAGTGTCACAGCAGTGGCTTAACTCCCTTCGACATGCCAACTCCACCGGGAACTGTTTAAGGGAATGCAGCCATCAAGAGGGGAAATCCCTGCCCACATGGAACTTAGATTCTGCTGCGAGGAGCCAGGAAGTATGCATAATCAGTACGTTTGTATTTTGTCTTGAATGTGATTCATGCAATAGAGAAAACTAAAGCAGAGCAAGAGGTGTGAGGAGTGCCAGTGTCTGGTTGTAATTTCATTTTTAAAATTATTTTTATTTGAAAGGCACATTTGTAGAGAGAAGGAGAGACACAGATCTTTCATCTGCTGGTTCACTCCCCAAATGGCTGCAACAGCCAGAGCTGAGCTTATCTGAAGTCAAGATCCTCTTCTGGGTCTCCCACATGGGTATGGGGTACCAAGGCTTTGGGCCATCCACTGCTTTCCCAGGCCACAAACAAGAAGCTGGATTGGAAGAGGAACAGCTGGGACATGAACTGGTACCCATATGAGATGCCAGCACTGTAGGCAGAGGATCAGCCTGATACACCACCATGTTGACTACCGATTGTAATTTTAAATGAGTGATGTTCAAGCAAAGACTAGAGGGAGGCACCGAGTGAGCTGTGGAGGAAGGGTTCAGTCCTGTGCCGAGGCCCTCCGTAAGGGAAGGATGCCCTGTAGCTGGATGGAGTGAGCTAGCAGGCATAGCAGACAAGCTCCCCGATTGCAGGAGGGCTAGGCCTGGTAGGGCTCTGGGCCCAGGAATGCCTTGGGTCCCTGGGAAGAGGCAGGAAATGAACAGAGAATGGCAGGAAGGATACCTCTAGTGTCCTCACAGTGCACGTCTCCCTTCTTTTTTTTTTTCAGGCAGCACGTGGTCCCCCACCGCGTTTATTGTGGATGATGGGGAAACCCCTGATGGGCTGAACCTGGGTGCAGTGGTGAGTGACACCGAGACGGGAGTGGTATTCCTCATCTACAGCCTCTGTGCACACAAGGCCGGCTGCTCAGTGGCCTCCACCATGCTGATCTGGAGCAAGGATGATGGTATTTCCTGGAGCCCGCCCCGGAACCTCTCAGTGGACATCGGCACGGAAATGTTTGCCCCTGGCCCAGGCTCTGGCATCCAGGTCTCTGGAGACATGGGGTGGGGGGGCTGCCTTGTGAGGGGGCTGGGAAGGTGGGCTTGAGTGGGATTCCTGGGTAGAGGACATCCTGAGGGAACCACCCTAGCAGGGGGTGATGGAGCTGTGTCACTGGCCCCCCTGGGGAGGTGTGCTCGTGCCTGCTGCCCTTGTAGGTGCCCTTCTTGAAGCTTCCTTTGGGTGCTCCCAAGCCTGTGTGGGTGCAAGGTTTGATGGGGTGGGGGCAGGTTGGGTTTTTAGCCTTTATGTTGCCTGTCTCAGGAAGAACTTAATGCTGCAGTCTCTCTGTGGAACTTTCTAGAATTGCACTGAGAAAGGACACAGCTGAAGAGGAGCAGACGTAGCCCCACACATGTGAGGCTGTGAGCCTCCCACAGGGTCCCCGCGTGTGACACCAGCTCTGCTTTCCACAGAAGCGGCATGAGCCACACAAAGGCCGGCTTATCGTGTGTGGCCACGGCACGCTGGAACGAGATGGCGTCTCCTGTCTTCTCAGCGATGACCATGGTGCCTCCTGGCGCTATGGCGGAATGATCAGTGGCATCCCCTATGGCCAGCCCAAGCGACAGAATGATTTCAACCCAGATGAATGCCAGGTCAGGAGCCCCGCTAGGCCCCGTGCTCCAGGGCACCATTCGGCGCTTGGCCCCAGGGTCCTGCTCAGGCTCTCTCCTCTCCCCTCAGCCCTACGAGCTCCCAGATGGCTCCGTGGTCATCAACGCCCGGAACCAGAACAACTACCACTGCCGTTGCCGGATTGTCCTGCACAGCTACGATGCCTGTGATACACTAAGGCCCCGCGATGTGACCTTCGACCCCGAGCTTGTGGACCCAGTGGTAGCCGCAGGGGCTGTGGCCACCAACTCTGGCATCGTCTTCTTCTCCAATCCGGCCCACCCCGAGTTCCGTGAGTGCCAGACAGAGGGGGTGGCAGGGGCTCCCTGAGCCCGGGGCCCCTCCCTTCCCTGACTCCACTGCTCTTCCCAGGAGTGAACCTGACCCTCCGCTGGAGCTTCAGCAACGGCACCTCCTGGCAGAAAGAGACGGTGCAGCTGTGGCCAGGGCCCAGCGGTTACTCGTCCCTGACGGCTCTGGAGGGCAATGCCTATGGGCAGCAGGCCTCCCAGCTCTACGTGCTGTACGAGAAAGGCCAGAGCCACTACACTGAGAGCATCTCCCTGGTCAAAGTCAGCATCTACGGCGAGCTCTGAGGTGTGCCCCTGCCGCAGGGGAGAAGTGTGGACCTCGAGTCTCAGAGGGTCAGTGGAGGTGGCTCAGTGACAGGCTGCCTACCTTTGGATGAGTCAGCTTCTTTTTGGGAGAGCAGCCCCTCTGTCAGGAGCAAAACTGCTTCCTGCTCCACCTGGGAAGTTGAGCTCACATCCGAGGCTTTGGCCTCTCTGCCCTTCCAGGCCAGTAATTTCTTCCTTTCCCAGGCTCAGCAGGGCGGGCCTGTGGAATCAAATAAATGTGAACTCAGGGAACTGAGGAAGCCTGAGCTTCCTCTTTTTGGGGTTGGGAGAAGAATCTGGCCATGAGGAGGCTGGGAGGAGGTCCTTGAGGACGGCGGGGAGGTGGGGCCAGGATGTTTGATTTCAGAGAGTGAAACTGGGTGTATCCTCCTCCCTGTGACTATTTATGAACCAGTGTTTCTAATTTTTAATGAAGGAGAATGAACATGCATTGAGTGTCTGTGTCTCTGTATACCCGGTGATGTGAGTTTTTCCGGAGGACAGGTGAGGCTGCCAGTGCCACTGGGGGAGAAGCTGGGATGCCCGGAGCCTGTGGAATTGAAGGTGGTAGCTCCAATCCTGCTTTCCCTGTGACACTGAGCTTGCAGGGGGTGATGAGTGAGAAGCAGCTTCAGATAATAGTTAAAAACCCATTCTTGGGGCCAGCGTGATGGCTCAGTTGGCTGGTCCTTTTGTTGGCATGTGTTTTGGCTGCTCCTCTTCCAGTCCAGCTCCCTGCTTATGGCCTGGGAAACAGTGGATGTTGGTCCAAAAGCCTTTTGATGCTGCTCCCGTGTGAGAGACCATGAAGAAGCTCCTGGCTGCTGGCTTCAGAGAAGCTCAGCTCCAGCTGTTGTGGCCACTGGAGAGTAAACCAGTGGATGGAAGAACTTTCTGTCTTTCATTCTCTGGGTAAATTTATCTTTCTATTAAAACTAAATAAATCTTTTTTTTTTTTTATTTACACTTTGCGTTTTACTGAACTTAAATCTCTAGATCTACAACAGTCTGCTCTCTTTTCTTTCTCTAATTCCTTCCAGGCAGAAGCAGAGCCATTGTCCTATGGAAAGTTTCTTTGTCTGGATGTATCCTTGTGGTCACTTTTCTTCCTCTGTCCTTTGTATTCTGACTTGGCTGGAGGACAGGATTCCTCCATTGGTGCTGGCTATTTCCTGCAGTGTCCCCTGAGGAGCACCCAAGAGGCTGCCATCTTTCAGGGTGAAGTGGAGATCAAGCCGTGGGGGTGATGGACATAGTCTGACGCCTCCCTGTGAGTTTTCACCGCTGACCTTTCAGCTAACAGTTTGACCTGTGGCCATTTGGCCTTATTGGTATTTTTTAAATTCTGTTATTTTTCCTCATTTATAAATATTAGCTAAAAATCTTCAGTAAAACAAAATTTGGAGGACCCAGTTGTTATACCACCTCTTGAGCATCTGCATCCCATCTTAGAGTGCTGGGGTTCGAATCTTAGCCTTGCTTCAGACTCCAGCTTCCTGCTAGTGTGCACCCTGGGAGGCAGCAGGTTATGGCTCATGTCCTTGAGCCCCTGCTACCCACGTGGGAGACCAGGATGAAGTTCCAGACTCCTGGCTTCAGCCTGGTCCAGCCCCAGCCATGGTAGTCATTTGAGTGAACCAGGAACTGTAAGATTCTCCCTCCTCATCTCTTCCTCTTTGTGTGTAACTGCCTTTCAAATAAATAAATCTCAAAAAGTCTTCCACATCAAGGCTATTTGGTCACACTGAATCATAATAAGCAAAAACCAAAAAACAGTACAGGAACTGCATGACAAATGGTTAAATTTCCCCTTTAATTACCAGTTTGCAGTGAAGTAATAACTTGCCTTTGCCAGTAAACCACATTGTTGCCCCATGGGGCAAATGGGGAATCTGTTGGCTCCAGGAAGTAGGCCAAGCATCAGAAGACTTACAGAAAGGCAACCCCAGGGCCACCTTTCCAGTACAGATCCGGAGGTGCGTGTAGAGCAAAAACAGGCTGGTGTCCCCAGCAATTGGGATGTCGGCAGTGTGACCACCTCCCTGTCTGACAAAGCCTCACTGACAATGTTACATGTCAGAAATATGGGTGGAAAGAAGGGAGATGACACTAAGCATGCCGCCCGTGAGCTGCTGGCTGCAGAGCGGGTGTGGCTGCAGGCCTGTGAGAAGTGGCCATCTGTATTCTTCACAGCTGAGAATCCTCAGAGTGATCCGCAAGGACACCCCACTTCTCTGAAGAGGAACCCTAGGCCTCCCCCAGGCTGCAGGCACTGCAGGAGCCTCGGACCCTGAGTACCTGCGCTGCAGAATCACAGCATGCACCTAAACACTAAGCCTAGATTTAGGAAGAGACTACGAAATCTGGGGAAAAAAAATTCTCCAAATGGAAAACAGAGAGTGGGATGTTTGGCCAAGTGGTCAAGTCACCACTTGTGAGATGCCCACATCCTGTGTCAGGGTGACTGGGTTAGATTCCTGACTCCTGCTCCATATTGGAACAGAAAGCTGAGGTGAGGGACTGTCCCAAGCAGCTAGGTTCCTGCCACCCATATGAGAGATGCCAGGAGGGCTGAGTAGTGTGGCAGAGCGAGTTAAGCTCCCACCTGGGATGCCCACAGGCCACATCAGCGTAGATTGGAGTGTGGACTACCACCCTCCTGACCCAGAGCCCTGCGCATGCGTCTGAGAAGAGGCAGAGGATGGCTAAAGTACCTGAGCTCTTGCTAGCCATGTGGGAAGCGAACCAGATGGAGTTCCAGCTTCCAGGATTCAGCCTGGCCCAGCCCTGCTGGCTGTAGCCATTTGGGAAGTGAACCAGGAGATGGAAGATTCTCCCTCTCTTTGCTTTTCAAATAAATAATTTTTTTTTTAATGCCTGAAAGAATCTAAAGAACAATAACAGCTGTCAGGAGCCAAACCTGCCCTTGTTTACTCCAGGGTGTTGAAAGTCTGCCACACCACCTGGCCTGTGCTGGTGATTTCATGTGCAAGGATAAATACAGGATGCTGACGCCTTGGGCCTGGGTTCTCCAGGTGGCAACAACCTGGGCATGTTAGAAATGCTTGGCCTGCCTCTCCCTGCAGTGCTCCTCTGCCCACCTGACCTGGGAGGATCCCAGGCTGTGGAGGTGGGGCTCTGTAATCAGCCTGCTTCCAGGCCTGATCTGTGTTCCAGCTGCTCCACTTCCCATCCAGCCTGGGTAGGCTGGGAAGTGTGCTAGATTTTGGGGTGCTTACCTCCTCCCCTTCACACATACACTGAGCCCCTGAGCTCTGGCTCAGCAGCTGTGGGTCCTCCCAGTCTAATCAGCTGACCCTTCAACATAGAAGAGAGGACAGCACTGACCCAGCAGCCAACACCAGGAACCAGGCCCCATGTCGTTTTTTTCCCCACTGATTTATTTATTTTATATGAAATATTTATGTTCATATAAATATGTTTAAATATTTATATTTTATATGAACACACACATATACTATCTTTTTTAAATTAAGGATTTATTTTTATTGGAAAGGCAAATTTACCCAGAGAAGGAGAATCAGAGAGAAAGATCTTTCATCTGCTGGTTTATTCCCCAAGTGGCCACAATGGCTGGAGCTGAGCTGATTCAAAGCTAGGAGCCAGAACTTCTTCTGGATCTCCTATGCAGGTACAGGATCTCAAGGCTTTGGGCTATCCTCCACTGCTTTCCCAGACCACAACCAGGGAGCTGGTTGAGAAATAGAGCAGCCAGGACATGAACTGGTGCCTATATGGGATCCCAGGTATGCAAAGTGAGGATTTAGCCACTAGCCTATGGCACCGGGCCCTATATTATCTTTGTTGGCTATAGTTTCTGGCTGCAAACTCTCTCACCAGGACAGGCCATAGAAGCTAAAATTTTTCTTCCCCAATGTGTGCCCTGGAGTTCTAACTTTCCCCACCTCTCTGACCTAAGACCCCCATTCCAATAGGGGCCCAGCTCCCTACGCTGGAGGAAGGAATATTGCCAAGAGGCCTAGGGCAATCTACACAGTCAGGCCTTGCTGGGTTTCCCCACCCAGTCTGTTAACATGGGATCATAACCTTTCTGTCCCTTCATATGTTGACACATGTCGGCCCGCTCTAAGCAATAATGTCCTCATAAAACCCCTAAAGGACAGGGTTCAGGTAACTTAAGGAAGGCTGAACACAAGGAGGCTGCTGGAAGGGGGCACACCCACAGTGGGCACAGGAGCCCCACGCCTCTTCTCCCAGGCCTCACCTTGTGCCCCTCTTCCATTCGCAGGCTCCGTGATGTTCTGGACAATAAATTAGTAAACGAGTTCCGTGAGCTACTGAAGCAAATAAAGGGAAATGAGAAAGAACCCTGTCCAATAGCCCATCGAGAGAGCAGTCGCTCTCCACCTCATGGAACACACATCCCACATCTGAATGCCTGCTTCCAGTTCTGGCTCCTCCACTTCCCATCCAACTTCCTAGTGATGCACACTGGAAAGAGGCACAAGGTGACCCACATGGGAGTCCAGACTGAGTTCCTGGTTCCTGGCTGTGACCTGGCCCAGCCATGGCTGTTACAGATAACTGGGGAGTAAACAGCATACGGAAGATGTCTCTCCTTTTTGTAAAATAAAAATAGCTGGTATATTTTTTAATATGTGTATTTTTACAAATGTGTTATTTTGAGACACAGTCTTATATCCCAAAGTCCTTGGGCTCCTGTCTCAGCTCCACTCCCAATTCTGTTTCCTGTTATTATGCACTTTGGAGCAGGGAGGGGCAGGCAACAGGTGCTGGCTCAATGGCTTGGATTCCTTCCACCCACAGGAGAGATCTGATTGAGTGCTGGATTTCTGGCGTCAGCCTGGCCCAGCCTCAGGTGGTTCAGCATGTGGCAGTAAAACAGAAGATGGCAGATCGCTATGCGTCTCTGCCTCTTTGTCTCTCTGACTTTTAAATATAGATTAAAACAAAATGAAATATAGCCAGTTGGTCCAAAGTATAGGTAAAAGCACCTATCAGAGTGGGGACGGCAATCTGCAGCTGACATTTTCAGCCTATGGGATCTAGACTGTCATGAACCATGGTGTACTCAGCTCGTATCTGTGGCAAAATCGATAGTCCAATGGAAGAAATATTCACACCTTCTGCAGCCACACCAGAGATACGTGACGTGAATATAAAGCAGAGGAAACTGAGTCTGAGTCAGATTTGTTGTATTTTTATCACTTCTCACAGTCAAAAGTCATTACCAGGAGGGAGTGGCAAGGAATACATCATGTTTGTCCGAACAAGGATGAGGATGGGAGTTCTGGCACCAAGGTCTATGCTGGGGCCCGTGCAGTGGATGTGGGGGACACGAAGGTGTGAAGAATACTGTTCCATTGCAGGCAGCACCACAAGGAATTTTCCACTGCATGGCAGGGCCCAGAGGATGTCTCTACAATCATCTGAAGGCAGTTCCAC